GATCAAACCACAGTCCCTGCACTTGCCTAAGCTTGCCTAAGCAGGCACTTTAATTCACTGAGCTATCGGGCCAGCCCCTTAGTTTTACTTTTGGATTCAGAATGAATCTCTTGGGATATCATAGAGTTAGATTTTTTTTTTTTTAAATCCATTTTGCACTGCCTCCCCTTTTGATTGGAGAATTTGTCCCATTTACATTTGAATAACTTGTTGGTAATGGGGGATCCCCACTCTGCTGTTTTCTGTCTTGAATCTCTTGTATTTTTCCTTCACTTTCCTTTGTATTTTTTAATGTACTGTTTTGGTTGCTCTTCATTTCCTTTTCCAAATATTTTTATTTTCATAGTGGTTACCCTGAAGATTATAAACTACATCTTAAATGTATAACAAGCTTATTTGAGTCAATACCAATTTAGCTCCAGTGGAGTATAAAAGCCGTCTTGACAACACTGGCCCGCCCCTTAGATTTTTGCTGTAACAAATTACATCTTTATACATTGCACATCCGTTAATGTAGTTGTTTAATTATTAGTTTGTGTGTTTGTATTTTGTGGGGCTTTTTTTCTTGTGTTTTTGTTTTTGTTTTTATTTTGTTTTGTTTTTGAAATAAGGTCTTGCTAAATTACCCACATTAGCCTAGAACTTGTGAACCCTCCTGCCTCAGCCTCCCAAGTATTTGGGAATCCCACACAGTCCTCTCCTTCCCTGGGTGTGGCCTGGTATCTGGACAGCAGCACACAAACAGGGGCACCATCACACTGTGTCTTGTCCACAGGGGTCTCAGCAGCCACTGTCAGCCAGAGCTGTGGCTTCTGGGAGTTCCACAGCCGAGCCAATGGAGATATCCGGAGACCCATTCCCCAGTGACTGGAGCCCACCACCCATCGAATTCCTGAATCCCAGACCTCCACCATCCCTGCTTGACGCCCAGGGCCAAAGAGGTGGTGCAGAGACATTGTCTAAGGAGCCAGAGCTGCCGAAGGCAGACCCGGACTTACCAGAGGACCTGGTTTTCAGCCTGGCTACGGAGAGGCAGCAGGTGGCCAACCCAGAGCCCGGCGCCCATGGCTTGGTGAGCACCGCAGCCCCAGCCCCTACCCCCGGCTGCCCCATCTACCATCCCTTGCCGTGCCCTCAGGCCACGCCCCAGCTGGTCTTTAGCCACATCCTCTGATCATCGCAGGGCCCCACCCGCCTGTGCCAGTCCTGCTGCAACACCTGCTAGCCGGTGGCCTGCAGGTAGCACCCAATTCACTGCCACTTTTGCACTGAATTGTTCCCTTGTTCCCTCAGTTGTGCCCCTTGTTCCCTCAAGGCCTTCATGGCAAAGGTTAGGATCATAGTGATGGAATCCAGGCTTGGCTGGACACAGAGACTCAGGCTGACCCTGGTGACCGTGTGAACAGGCTTCCTGAACGGAAACATCAGGAATGAACTTCAAGTCAGGAATACAGTCTTGGAGACAGGTGAAATATTAGGACGCCGAAAGACCAGAAAATGCATGCTAAGAATAGGGTGTCAGAACAGGGCGTGGTGGCACACGCCTGTGACCCAAGCATTCTGGAGGCTGAGGCAGGAGGGTCTCTGTGAGTTCAAGGCCAGCCTGCACTACATAGTGAAACCTTGTCTCAAAAGATTGCTACTAATCAGTAAATAAAATAGAAAGCATGAAAGCGGTGCTCCCCCGAGTCTCCTGTGGGTGGCTGGGGTAGAGGTACAGGAGCGAACATCTTCCTCTTTGATTTTTTTCAATCATGTAAGTGTATTATCTCTCCAGAATAGTAAACACAGTAAAGCAAGGGCTTATGTATTTATTTGGTTCTTTTGAAACTGGGTCTGACTATGTAGTCTAGGCTAGCCTCAAACTCCTGACAATCCTCCTGCCCCAGCCTCCTGGGTTGCTTGCTCCACCATGCGCAGCAAAAGGGCTTATTTTAGCTGGAACGTTTTCTTCTGCTCCTCCAACTTTGTCTTCTTTTTCTTCCCCACTCCGTATGTCTCCATTGCGGCTCCCAGAACTCTAAAAACTACATCAACTCCTTGGATGCCTTACTGCGGGAGAAGTGGTGAGTGAGAGTTCACCACCATGCTCATTGCTTTTGGATTTTCAGTAGTTTTAGGCCCAGGCTACTTCCTGTCTGTGTGGAGTGGCCTTCCCTACCCAGTCATGGCCACTCAAGCTCGAACTGATGTGAATCCGGAGGAGGAGGGTAGCATCTCCATGGGGTGGTTCTCCTGAAGAGATGAAGCCTCCTGTAAGCTCGTGAGGGAAGCCACTCAGTGGCCTGTCCCCTGCCCTGGTACCACACCACTGGCCTGGCAGGGGAGCCTGGCTGGTGCCCGCTGCCTGCCCCAGTAGGCTTGAATCCAGTGGCATGGGTCAGAATTGCAAGCAGGAGCTGGCGCCTGGCCTTCTGAATGTTGGCACACGCTAGGGACCCTTTGGGTAGACATACAATCCCTGCTGCCCCCCACGGGCTCTGCCTCTGATGGCACACGTGTACACACATTGCCCACACGGCTGGTTCCTCCCTGTCCCTGCCACCGGCGTCTGGCGTTTGTGTGTGGCTCAGTGTGCACAGCCCGGCTTAGTGTCCACGCCAAGATCTGCCTGCCGCTTCCAGGCTCCACGTGGGGCAGTGACCACTCGGGACAGACTGCAGGGTCCCTATTCCCACCCACACCTGGCCCTCCACCCACCAGAGTCAGAGCCCCCCCCAGCTCCTCCTCTGAATCTTTTTCTATTTTTTCTCTTTTCTTTTCCTTCTTTTTCTTTCCTGTTTCATTCCCTTTCTTTCTCTTCTTTGTTTTTCCCCCAGTGCTGGTGATTGAACCCAGGTTTGTTTGTGTGTTTGTTTTGGAAGTAGAATCTTGCCAAGTTGCTCGGGCTAGCCTTCCACTTACAGTCCTCCTCCTACCTCTGCCTCGCAGTAGCTGGGATGCCAGGTGTGTGCCACCTGCTGGGCTTCGTCCGGCTCACTAATCTGGAGAGCTCCATGGTTTGACATCTTCCTTCCTTTGAATTTTTTGCCTCCCACTAGGTGGCGTGTGTTTCATGGTGCCTGGCGCTGTGCTGTGCATTTAATAGGTGCTGGAAAACGTCAGGAACCTATCCTGGCGGGTGTAAGCCATTGACGTTCATCTCTCCTGACTGGCTGGTTGGCTCCTGGTGAGAGCGCCACTTCCCTGCAGGGACAGCAAGCTGTCTGGTTTTCTTTTTGTTTTTCTTTTTCCTTTTCTCTTTCTTTCTTTGTCTCTCCCTCCTCTCTGTCTCTCCCTCCCTCCCTCCCTCCTTTGCTTCTTCCTTCCCTTCTTCCTTCCTTCTTTCCTTCCTTCCTTCCAGTGCTGGGGATGGAGCCCAGGACCTCCTATGCACTGGGCAAATGCTCCAGCTCTCGCTGTCCCACAGTCTAGTCTCTTCTAAGAACCCTAATCTGTCAGTTTGTGCCCTCGCAAGCACATTGCACCTTGACTACTTCCTGCCCTGTGTATGGCCACATGGGAACTGGGGAGAGTGGCACAGCTATTGGCTTGGAGGTCAGAAAAGCCCCCAGTTGTCCTTGAACCTTGCAGGATAAGAGGGGCTCTAGAGGATGGAGGCAGCTTCTGTGGATAGGCAGAGAGGCCAGGCCACGCTGCCAGGCTGATGGGGCTGGGAGGGCTCAGTGTTGTGAAGAGCAGGGTGCCGTGGGAGGGGTGGTCAGGATGCTCTACGGGCAGGCAGCGTGCCCAGTAGCGAGGGTAAGTGGAGCGAGCTCTGAGCACCCAGGGATGAGCATCCCCATGTTTAGGGAGAATGGGTGTGGCTTGTGGGCAGAGTACCAGGGCTGATCCTGGCACCCCTAGGAGGAGATGGCAGGCTCCTGATGGCTGCACTGTGTCCCAGATGGCAGGGACATTGGTGCCATGGGAAGAAAGTGTGCAGACATGGACAGGTGGCATCGCTGAACCAGGAGCCATCAAGCCAGCAGCCATGAGAGGCTCAGAGCAAGGTGGGGCCTGGGCTGCAGGCCAGGGCTCTTGCCAGCCTGCCGAAGCAGGACAGAGGCTGGGGCCACTTTGGGTCTGCAGGATGCAGGGGGCAAGGAGGGTGAGCAGGGAGGAGGCTCTGAGTGGGGAGAGGAAGGCCAGGCCAGGCCTGCCTGCCAGCTGGGTGTGTCATCCCAGCTTCCAGGGAGGCTGAAGCAGGAGGCTCCCAGTTCAGGGCCAACCCAGGCAACTTGGTGGAACTGCCTCGGGCCATCCAGCCCCTTTGCCAAGCTGCTGCCGAGCCCCAGCTCTGGCTCTGGTGCCCGCAGGGAGCAGCCTTCAGAGCAGGACCTGGGGAGTCTGCTCTCGGAGGCTGAGTGCACGCGCCCCTGCTTGGAAGACAGCAAGGATGAGAATGCCCTGCTTGTGCCCAGCACAGGTGAGGTGGGACCGAGCCAGCAGTGTGTGTGTCTGTGACTTCCAGAGCTGGCCCTTCCCCAGCATGGTGGCACACCTGTCACCCCAGCACTCGGGAGGCTGAGGCAGGACCAGTTTAAAGCCCAGCCTGAGCTACACAGAGTTCAAGGTCAGCCTGAACTACAGAGGGAGACCTTGTCTCAAAAAAGCAGAGGGAGGAAGAAAAGGAGGGGGGTGAAGGGAGGGAGGAGGGGGACCAAAGGGAAGCTGCTTCCTCCTCCAGCCATGTTCATTCAGATTCAGGAAATAGCTGATTGCCTGCCGGCCACCAGGGTCTAAACTGGCCTTTGAGGACTCAGCAGCCATAAAACAGCCCAATTATCTGCCCAAGTTCACAGAACCAGGCCTCTCGGGAGCGTAGCTGCACAAAACCTCAGTCCAACTGAAACGGCCTCCTGGGGTTATGGCCAAGGGCCAGTTTTCATCTGCCGCATGTGGGGTGGAGAAGGCAGCCTCGTGAGCACCAGCTCCTGGGTGGGGCCCTGCTGGCCTGGCCTTGACTGCTGTTGGTGGGAGGGAGGCCTGGATTCATTTGTGACAGAGGGTCGCAGACATGCTGGGGTCCACAGATGAATCCATCTCTGTTTCTTGAGACGGTCTGGCCAGTGCGAGAGGCTGGCCTGGAACTTGCAGAGATCCTCCTGCCTCAGCCTCCTGAGTGCTGGAGTTACAGGTGTGTACCCACACCTGGCAGGAATCTAACTATAGGGTATGGTTTTCCATCTGCTATTCTTTGAGAGCTGCTGTTGTAGCACTGTGGACAAGGGGCTGAATCAAGGCCGCCTTCTAGGTGGCAGATGGCCCTTGTCATGTGTCCCGTGTGGCAGGAAGAGGGTGACAGAATCCTGTGTATGACAGAGCTGTTCATGATAACCCTGACCTCATGACCTGCTCATCTCTGTAGTCTCAGCCTCCTAAAGCCACCACCTCGGGGGCTTAGAATTCCAATGTGGGCATTCCAGGGACGCAGACAGGCAGCCCAGACCCAGCTAACCATGTCCCTCAGTCCCTTCACTCAGCCCTTCCAGCTGGTGTTTGACTTGTCCCTCTGGCTGGCCAGCTCCAAGACGGGGTCCCCGCTGTCATGGTTTATTGACTTACTGGAGTGGTTTGCGGAGCTCGGGGAAACCCCTCTCGTGTGACAGAGCTGTGAGGACAGGCACAGATGCAGAGAACATGGGGTACAAGAAGGAGCTTGCATGCCCTCTCCGGGCGGGCACCACCAGAGCTGTCGCGTGCTTTGCCATCTGGGAGCTCCAGTCCCTGCGCACCTGGGTTTTCTGAGGCTTTCCCTGTGCAGTCGGGACAGCCATCCATCACCGCTTCCTGGGCCCATGTTCTGTTCACTGGGTGTTACATGGGACTCTCTGGCTTGGGAAGCTCTTAGGACCTATTACCAAGGGCCCTAGGACAGGCATTCCCTGGGGCCAGCCAGAGGCTTCATGAGGAGGCTTGTCTTTTCCTTGGGGATGCTTTTGGGGAGAGAAATCCTGGTTTCTAGGACCCACACTAAGGACTGTTGCAAGGTAGAAATCAAAAATAGCCTGGTGTGGTAGTACAGCTATAATTCCAGCACTTGGGAGGTTGAGGCAGGAGGATCTCTGGGAGTTTGAGGTCATCCTGGGTTATATAGCAAATTCAGGGTCAGCCTGGATGACATATCAAGACTGTGTCATAAGAAGAGCTCCTTTGGGGTCCTAGAGCCTGATGGGCAGGTAGGGTGTGAGGCAAGGCAGAAGTCGCCCTGTGCAGGTGACATTTAAGCTTTAAGACAGGATGAGCACCAGGCACAGTATAGGGGGGCTGCGCAGGAGTCTGGAATCCCCCAGGGCACAGGTGGCAGGGAACAGAAAAGGGCAGAGGAGAAACTGGACGGTGGGCTAGGGTGAGTGCTGCTGGGGTCCTTTGGTCCAACTCCCTTTCACGGAGGAGCCAGGGTGTTTCAGGAGTGGGGCTGGACGATGAGGCAGAGGGAGGTCTGCAGGAGCCCTGTGCTCCAGAGGCTGTGTCGGGCTGCAGGGGAAGCTGTAGACAGCCATGACCTGGCTGGTGTCAGTGAGGATGAGCAAGTGATTTGACTTGAAGATTATTTGGGAAAAGGTTTTGCTACGTTAGCAGGCTGGCCTCGAACTCACAGCAATTCTCCTGCCTCAGCATCCCGAGTGCTGGGATCACAGGCATGTGCCACCACGGCTGCTCCCGAGGATGTGACTAAATGACTGAATGTGCCTGTGGAATGTGATTTGCCCCAAATCGGTTCCCCAGAAATGGTTGTGAAGCATACATTGGGAGCTGCTCCCTCTTCACATTTCTCTAGGCTTGTGGCCCAGCTCTCTGTAGGACCTCTGTGTAGGTGATGAAGGTTTTAGACACTGGGCTGATCAGTCTCTGTCACCAAGCTGGACCTGGCCATTGTCAGATGAAAGCTCCCACCCAGCGGTCAGAGGCTGTACTTTCTGAACTACAGGGACCCGTGCCCCAGTGGGTGCCCAGCGGGTGTGGCCTGGCTCTGCCTGTCACCTGTTGTCCATCTGTGATGGACACAGGCCCTATTCTGCCTGTTAGAACAGCGAGCTATGTGAGAGGCAGTCTGGTCACTCCCCAAGGACAGGCCTAGGGGTGCTTATGGGATAAAACGCAGTGACCTAGGGCGTGGGAGCGGGAGTCATCCAGGGTCTGCCGTTAGTGCTCAGCTTCCCGGCCTCTTATCAGAAGTGGAGGGTTACCATGTCCTAAGGCCCGAGCTGTGGCTCTTGCCATCTAAAGGGTACCTGCTGGACACCTGCCCAGACCTAGGTGGAGGGTTGGTGGCTTCCAATGATCTGTGAGAGACAGAGGCAGCCTCCGCATTCCTAAGAAACAACACCGTGGCCACAGTCAGAGGTGTTACCTGAGCAGAGCCATGGGAGGACACAGCTGAGCTGTGTCACCTCTGAAACGCTGGTAAATGCTAGTGAGGCAGTCGCAGTCAGTTCCTTCTTGGTTCCTTACGGACCGTGAAGGTCTGGGACACACTCAGATTGGAAGAACCATCTGTATGCCTCAGTGGAGTGCAGGATGGGGGCTTCGAAGTCACTGTGCGACTCCAGGAGGGCAGTGCCATGCCATCTGAGGTCAGGGGGTTGGTGGGGTGTGGACCTGAGCATCACCAGCATCCTGGGGCCTTCGGCTCCCTCCTGAAAACACCTGGTGGCATCGCATGCATCTTGTCTCCCAGCAGAGACTCGTGACTTTGGGTTCCAGCTTCTGCACTTTGCAACTAGGGACTGTCAGAGGCGGACCTTCAAAGCCTTTGTGAAATCCCTGTGCAGGAATTCCTGAAAGTCCTAGCCGGAAGATTTCACAGTCTCCCTGAGGGGGTGTCTAGCGCTGGAGGGTCCCTGTGGAAGAAGAGGGCTTCCCGGCTCTTAGAGCAATGCCCACCCTCTGGGCACATGACGGTTCTCAGCAGGGCTCTAAGAAAGCCTCTTTGACAACAGCCACTTTGAGGTGGTTGTTTTGATGTGGGTGGTTCTGAAGGGACTGTTCAACCTTCCCCTCTGAGCAGAGCTGGGGGAGGTGCAGCCAGCATGCAGTCTGGGAGGCGTGAGGCTGAGGGTAGGGCAGACCCATCTGCCAGGCAGGGCCTCCTAAAATTGTCACAGTAGGGTGACTTAGACAGGACCCTGATTATCTGCAGCAAAGCGCCTGTCATGCCCTAAGAATTGGCTTGCGTCTCGACGGGATGACATCCTAAATTCCTTTTCTTAACAATTAAAAGACCTCGTGTGTGCACTGGGGCCAGGGGTGCAGGGCGCGAGAGGCGGGTATTTAAGCTACAGCATGGTCCTTTATTCCCGTCTTCAGCTTGCACAGGAAGTCCCCAATTAGACGGGAGAGTCGTCTGCAAGCTCCTAATAACACACATGCCTTGTGGTGAAGACCACAAAAGTCCCTTTGAATGATGTTTTTAGGGACAGGGTTAGGAGTCCCTCATAGATGGGGTTACTTCATTCTTACGGATGCTTAGTAATTCACACAACTGTAAAAGCAGCCCTAGAGCCCTAACAGATACTTGCACAACTGTGAATGACAGGGACATGAACAGAATGGACAATTATTTTACCATTTGTGGCAGCAGTTTCTAAGACTGTTGCCAACAGCCTGCAGAAGCAAATCTCCTTGTTTGCTTTTCAGTGCTGAGGATTGAACCCAGGGCCTTCACACTGAGCTACATCTCCAGCCCTTTTTCCATTTTTAATTTTCAGTCTTGCCAAATTACTGATTTGCCCAAGCTGTGCTAGAACTTGTGATCCTCCTGCCTCAGCCTCCCAAGCATGCTGATGATTACAGGCTGCACCGCCCTGTCTTGCTGGTTTTCCATCGGTGTCATGCCCGTGCATTCTCCAGATGGCCCTGTGATGGGGTGGGGCCTTCCCTTGGGCCCCTGGGCCAGAAAGCAAGACAGGTTCTCCTGGCTTGTGGGCCCCTCCAGGGCCCGTGGCTCCTGTCCTAAAAGCTGTTCCTCCCGGGTTTGCTCTTACACAGCAGGCCAGGAATTGGAGCAAGAAGAGGAAGCAGGGTCCACAGCTTGTTTTATTTTGTTCATATGTGTTTATTTTGAACATATATGTTGTTCATATATGTTCTTGGTTTTTCTTTTCTTTGCCCTTTTTGAGACACAGTCTCATGTCACCCAGGCTGGCCTCAAACTCAGGATCTTCCCGCCTCAACTTCCCAAGTATTGGGGTTTCAGGCGTGCACCCCCATGCAGGGCTTGGTGAGTGTGTGTTGCGTTGCTGCGTCATCTAGCAGGGTGTAGTTCTGTGAGGCACGTAGCAAATGCCTGCTCTTCCCCTCCCCACTCCCAGGCCTGAGCCTGGATCTTAGCTGGATCTGTCACGTGTGTGTGTGTCCACATGTAGAGCTGTCACCCCTTACCTGTGGCATTGGGCTCCATCTTTCCAGCTGACCACTGTCAGAAAACATTAAATGGAAGACTCCAAAGCTCAGCAGCTCACAGGTTTTAAATGAACACCGCTCGGGTGCTAGTTGGCCTCTGTCCCACATGTCCCCTCTGTCCCTGCCATCCACCCCTTAGACACTCTGAATTATCAGATTGCCTGTGGCAGAGTTGCAGGGCTTGTGTTCAGATAACCCCAGTCTCCTTGGTGCCTGGCTCAGAGCAGGGACAGCGACTCAGGTCTGCCTGAGACGTGTGAAGCACTTCGTCTGAGTGAAAAGGGGAATGTTCTCACCTTGACGAAGAAAGAAATGGGTGCGTGGTTGCCAAGATCTCTGGAAGAACACAGCTGTGAACTTGAGCAGAAGAAAAAAGAAATTGTGGTTTTGCTGTAAGTTGCAGCCAGTGTGTAATAGGAACTTAGTTATGGAAAACATGCGCTAGTGCTAGGTCTGCCACCGTCCACAGCTCCAGGCCTGGAGGGGGTCTTGGGACAGCGGCTCTGGATGAGCGGGATGACCTCACACGCGTGTGTGTTCTCACGCACGTGGACATAGCCATGGATGTGCCGTTCTGCCCCCTGTTAGATTTCAGTACTGTGCCCAGGTGTCCCTGCTAAATTTAGCTCATTCTCAAGATGTTTGTGGAGGGGGGTGGTTGGGACAGAGTCTGTAGACAGTATAGCCCAGACTGGTCTCAAACTCAAGATGATTCTCCTGCCTCAGCCTCCCGAGTGCTGGAATTCCAGGCGTGACCGCCATGGCCAGCTCAGGCTTCATCTTAACCATCTTCCTGTCCCTGTCCCCATTTCTGTGCACCACACCAGAGCAGGGAAGAATGCCTTCTCCTTCTCCTCCATCTGCGCGCTAAGCCAACCTCCTGGCTTAGCCTGCCTCAGCCTCCCAAGAGTGCTGGTGATCACAGGCTGCACCGCCCTGTCTTCCTGGTTTTCCATGGGTGTCATGCCCGTGCATTCTTGGATGCCACAAGGTATGGGTGGCATCCGCATCTCAGCAGGTTCCCCTGAGTGCTGGGGCTCCAGGACAGCTGGCCCGGAGGGAGCGCCCAGCTCCTGCAGCTGGCACTGAGCCCCTCCTGCCATCTGTGCTTCCGCTTATGCCTACACTGCCCCTGAGCTGAACACCTTGGCCAGACCCTGCTACACCCAGCCCTTCTTGCCCTGCCGCTCAGGTCAGGCCCCTGGCTCCGGGACACTGGGGATCTGCCCACACTTTCCCTTGGTGGTCCAGTCTTGGCTCATCCTTTAATACCTGGCACTGAAAGCGTGGTGTGGAGGTTTGACCTGAGCAGAGCCAACGAAAGCGGGCACCAGGACCCCAGATGGTGCCCTGGGGGTTGGGGTGCATGTTGAACAGGCTGGTGTGGGCTCTCCCTGTCAGCAGGTGGTACTGTCCCTCCCCAGGTCTGCAGGGGGCAGTGCAGGCAGGGTCCTCCCTGAGGTGACCCTGGTGGCCTCTGACCCTGCACTCTGCCCTTGCTTGCCAGGTTGCTGGTGGAGAAGTTCTCTGTGTCGCAGCAGGACATCCCCCAGGTGTACCCCGGCGAGTGCGTGTTCCTGCCCCGGCTCTGCCCATTGCCCTGCTTCCTGGATGTCTCCCAGATGAATCCGCACAACGCCCTGGAAGATCTGTTCCTCAAGTGAGTGTGGGAAGCCTGGGAGCCAGCAGCGCAGGGTGAGGGCTGCCCGCGAGAGGACATCCAAACAGCAGTGGCGTCACTAGTCTACCTCACCTGACAGAGGTACAGGGGACGTGGTCACAAATGTCTGTGTCTAAAATTGACCGATTTAGTTGCACAGACTGTAAAGAATCCTGTATCCTGCTGGATATCAGGTGTGTGTTCCACTGCTTGTCCCCCTCCCCCATGCCCTGGTCAGGGAGCAGCCAAGTCAGACTCCTCACACAGGGCCCAGGGTCCTGAAGCCCTGGGCACCCGGCCCCTCTCTGGGCCAGTAGAACCTGGCTGGGGCCTCCCCTCTGCAGCAGGATGCGGGAGGATTCTCCTTTTGCTGTGTGGTTTCCGTTACCTGTGGTCAGCTGTGGTTTCCCACTCTCAGGTAGAATGTTCCAGAACAACAGATCCTGTGTTGCAAGTCACGTACAATTCAGAGTCATGTGATGAAACTGCAGGCCACCCCGCTCCTCCCCATACCACTGGGAATTGTCCTCACGGCTTGTGAATCCACCTGGTCTGCACTACCTGCTCATTAGTTAGTTAGCAGCCGGCTCAGTGTTCACCTAGACGGCCCCATACCGTAGGGCTTGTGTTGTAGGAACCCCTGTTTTACCTGATGGTGGCTACAAAATGCAAGTGACTTTGGGCTGGGAATTCAGCCACACCCTTCCTTTTGCAGAAAGGTGGACATTCTTGACTTTCACATATATCTATGAAGTTGGAAAAAAGGAAAAAAATTATGCTAACTTTGCTGTTCACACCCAGTCTACAAAAATTTTAGTTACAGAAGCCAGGCATGATGGTGCATACCTGTAATCCCAGCTGTTGGGAGGCTGAGGCAGGAAGACTGCTGCAGGTTTAAAGCCAGTTTGGGTTGGTGAGTTCAGGGTGAACTTCATAGTGAGATTCTGTCTCAAAAAATAGAAAGCTCTAGCTACAGAGCCTGACAAGAATGTAGCTAAAGTGGGAAAGCATTGAGTTAAAGTCCCAGTACTACCTGCCCTTTCAGGCCTGTGTGGGGTCGTCGTAGGACGCCTCACCACAGACAGTGAGGGGCCGTTCTCTCAGAGATGTGGCGCTTCTTCTGTCTGTGTGATGCTGGCACCAAAAAGCTTCTCCCCAGCCACCAACACACTCAGTAACAATAGGACAGCTGCCTGTTCCTCTTCTTTTGGGAAGTAGATTCATAGTGATTATCACGTAATGACTGCCTACATTGCTTTTAAGAGGGTTTGAAAGCAGTGTACTACAATATGCAGCCCTTGCTGTTGTGAGCTAACTGCGTCCAAGAGGAAGAGAGAGAAAGTGCTGTTGCTGCCTGCTGTGTTGGAGGCTGAGGGGTGGGGACAGGGCCACCGTCACCCACCCAGTGAGGAGCCTAGAGGCTGGCAGCTTAGTGTGCTCATGGCCATGTTAGGACTTGAATCCAGGAGTCACCTCTCCTCATCTCCCCAGGGCTTTCCTGTATGTATCTGTCTGCTTCTCCCAACTGTGCCCACATGCCCTGGGCTGGGTCCTTACAAAGAGGAGAGGTTCATTAGCTCCAGTGAGGCTGCAGTCCAGCAGCAGAGCACTCACTACAGCCGGGACCTCTCACCTACCCGAGTGCTGGATGGCGCCGCAGCAGTGGGTGGGTACAAGGGGTCACCCAGACCACTTCAGGCCTCTTCAACATGGGCACTTTGGAAAATGCACTTAAGTGTCTGGACCCTGTTGCTAAGAAGAATGGTTGAGGTCATAATTCCGCAGTTCAGAAGAAAGGAGCAGAGCTGGGTCTTGGAGAAACACATGTCCCAGTCTCTAGGAGAGCTGCGGGGGGTTGCACATCTGTGGCTGGACACAGACAGCGCTCAGCGTTCTAGCGGAGAGCGAGAGCCCGGGAAAGGCTGCTCAAGCTCAAGGGCCTTGGAGACAGGTGAGTGGGGTTGTCCACGCCAGGGAAGTGCTGGAACAGATGTAGAATGGGAGATGCTTCCACCAAATGCAGAGAGAAAGAAAAGAGACCAAGGTAAGGAAGAAGCGAATGTGAGGGCCTGTCCAGGAGGCAGAATCTACCCCCTAGTAGGAGTGCCTGAAACAGAACAAAGCAAATGCAGCTGACGCAACACTTACGGAACTAATGGAAGAACACTTTCTAGAAATAAACTATCATGAGAAGCAAGCATTACTTAGGTGTTTCCTGGATACTATTTAAATTTCTTTTTAAAAATTTGTATTTTGGGGGCTGGGGAGATGGCTCAGTGGAGTAAGTGCTTGCCTGGCAAGCGCAAGGGCCTGAGTTCAAGCCCCGGTTTTGGCAAAAATAATAAAATAAAAATAAAAATTTATATTTTTATGTTGGACGCGGTGGCCCATGCCTGAAATCCCAGTACTTGGGAGGCTGAGGCAAGAGGATTGTTGCTAGTTTGAGGCCAGTTTGGGCTACAAAGTGAGCTCAGGGCCAGTCTGAACTGCATAGCAAGACCCTATCTCAAATAGACACACACACACATACCCCCAAAAAATAAATAAAAAAGTTTTTTAAAAAGAGAGAAAGTAGGTTATCTGTAAAGGGGCAAAATCCAGGCAGACCCCAGATTTTTCTCTCGCGGTTCTCAATGCCAGAAGACAATGGAACAAGCCAGTCATGGTGGCACACGCTGTCATCCCATCATTCAGGAGGCTGAGGCAGGAAGATCTACTTTTAGAGTCTGAAGAGAAATAATTTTGAATGAGAATCATATACGCTGCCAAATTTTTGTATCTTTATAAAGTCTCTGGAAGATATTCTCCATTATGCAGAGATGGAGAAAGTCTACCAACCAACCTTCTTTGAAAAATGTGCTGACTGATTTACTGCAGCCAACAGAGAACATAAATTAAAAATAACTGAGGAGTAAAGAGGCAGTTGGATGAAGGAGCTGATGCCAAGCATCAAAACCAGTGAAGGAGCACGAAGACTCACGTGGTTCCGTGTAGGGTAATAAACTGGAACGCAAAATAGATCTATAAGCTAGACCCAACATTTTCGGGGTATGTAGCTTTACACTGTCAGAGCGCAGGCCAGAGTCAGCGTATCAGGCAAATGCTATTTTGTCTTCGCCACGTATGATCACATGTAAAGATGCATGCCGCACGGCCACACGTATGTAAACCAAACGCGTGGTATCACTGTGTACAGGCCAAGTACGGGTTTCACGAAAACCCAGATGGAGTTTTTCTGCTCAGTTGTCCAGCTGGAGCTCGAACATGCCCTCCTCCTGCCTCAGCCTCCCAGACTGCTGGGATTGCAAACCTGTAGCGTTAGCCTGGCTAGATGTTCCTTAGAGGCTGTTCCGATTGGGATCTGAACAAGGTCCAGACATCAAGATTAGATTAGACGGCCTGTACTATATTCATTACTTTCAGGCTTGAATGGCCTTAACCCTTCTCCTAGGTTTTTAGGACGTGTGTTTTCCTAGCTTTTCTCTGTTAGGAACAGTATGGGGATGGCCTTGTGTGTGTTTGTCTGGAGGTCGCCAGTGTGCTCCTAGCTACAGTGTGAGGTGACAGGAATGTAGAAACCCTGGTAGAGGCAACCCAGTCCTATGGAAAGGGGTGAAGGAAAGATAAGAGGAGAAGAAGAAAGGAGCCAGATTGACGGCTGAGGCACGAGTATCTCTGTGAGCTCAAGGCCAGCCTGAACTGCATAGGGAGACCTTGTCTCAAAGAAAAAAACCCCAAAATGAAGAAAAAACAGGAAAGGTCATGGAGGTGGAGGAAGGGAGAATGGCCAGGTAGGGCCAAGGGCTGGAGAGTGAGAGCACCTAAGGCGTCTTTCTGTGCAGCTCTGCCTTGGACTCCTGCCAGCAGCAGGTTTGCTGTCCCCAGCTGGCTGTCCGTCAGGAACTGTTGGACCAGTGATGTGGCCCATTGTGCGGTGACCCAGGATCAGCACAGTGCCGCCTCAGGGGCCAGGTGGCCGCCCGGAGTCCTTTCCTCCACCTCAGATGTGCTCATGTGCACAGTGTGGCAGTTTCAGTGTGCTGTAGGGATGCACTGTGTGATACCGCGGAGCTCCTCCGGGGCAGTGGCTAGGGCCTCTTCCAGGGGTCGCCATCTCTCCAGGGTTCACCTGTCATTTCCTATTTATGCAAAGATCTAACATGTAGACATGGGGCTGAATACCAGTGTGAGCCAGCTAGGCCATACCCACTGCACTGGGCTAGAAACATGGCCACAATGGACACGAGATGACGTAGGAGCTCTTGCCGGACAAGCACCTTGGGAGCTGACAGGAATTTTATCCCCGGTCCTGTTCCTGTGATTTTCCAGACTTTGTATAATGAGTGTGTACCATTTTATCATTAGAGGGGGACGAAATGGATGTGGGCTTTTTCTTTTTCTTTGCATTTTTTGAGACACGGGCTTACTGTGTAGCCCAGGCCAGCCTTGCACTCATAGAGAACCTGCTGCTTCAGCCTCCATGTGTTGGGATGAGAGGCATGCACCACCACCCCTCACACCAATGCTACTTTAAAAAAAAAATCACCTCTTGAAATAGTCTCACATCTCTGCACCCTTCTGTGAAGGGAAAGAGGAAGGCTAGTGCGCTGCAAGCCGTTCATCTTAGGTGGAGGCCTACGTGCAGAGGGACCCGACGTCTGGGTCCCAGTGATATCCCCAGTGGTGTATGCAGGGCCTCATGCAAGGATGCCCCTCACGGCCCCTGCTGTGCAGCTGAACCCAGGCTGAGTGTATGAGCACTGGTCAGGTTCCTGGGATCAAGCCGCAGTGACACAAGCAGGCTCCAGCCAGTTCTGGGTACAGCTGCCTGCCTGCTCCCTGGACTGTGACAGAAGGGAAACCCTGTCCACCTTTGCAGAAGCCTCACAGGACAGCCAGGACCACAGGTCAGCCAGAACCAGGTTGTGCAACCCAGGGAGAAAAGCCAGCAAGACAGGACAGCAGGGGTGGCCAGGCAGGGGTGGTGGCAGGGTCAGCAGCCTCTGACACTACTGATGGCCCTGTGTTCTCAGGAAGGCTGTTTGTTCCCATGTATACCTGGGCAGAGGAGGAAACAGAGTTAGATGAACTTGAGCTTCACTGGGTTGGTGGCACTTGTGCCCTGTGTGTCCCAGAGGCCCTACACCCTCATTTTTGTGTTGTATTATTTTTGAGACAGAGTCTTGCTATGTAGTGCAAGCTGGTTTCAACCCCTCTTCATAGCCCAGGCTTAGAAATAATGGTGAGCCTCTTGCCTCAGCTTCCGAGTGCTAGGATTACAGTCGTTCACCACCATGCCCAGCTTCCAGCTAGTTGTTACTGGGCTGTGAGTACCTCTTTTAGTGGAGGAATATGACAGGTCAGAGTCACACAAACCCAGGCTCAGTGGCAAACATTTGTAATCCCAGCCCTTGGGGCTGAGGCAGCAGTTCGAGGCCAACCTGGACTATGCGGTGAGTTCAAGACCATCCTGGACTACAAAGCAAGACCGTATTTCAACTCCCCCATCCCCCCAAAAAAGAAGAGGGACAAGCGAAAGCTCCAACAGGCTCATCGTGTTCTATTATGGTATTTTACTTCCGCTTTCGTTGTAGAAGTTGGTATGTCTGGCACCATGTAAATAATGCCCCCATGCTGATCCCTCTGCACCACTTGGGATGAGCTGGGCATCTGGGGACTTTGCCCACTGGCACTGCGGCTGCGATGTGATGGACAGTGAGTCTTCCCTTGGGCATTGTTACGGTCAGGCTGGGAATTCCAAGCTGGTCACTGGACACTGGGCAGCTTCCCTGGCCCACGGGGAGGACTGGAGGGCAGCAGACACCACTGGCACGTCATCGCCAGTGCTCTGCTGGGCCTGCACCCAGAGCCTCCCTAGCTGGGACCTCCTGAGCTGACAGCGAGAGGCCTTGTGTCCCCTGCGCCCGCATGGCTTCTGCTGTTCATTTCTCCTCCAGGACCCTCTGACATTCTTTAGATAACGTGTGAGCTCGCTGTTGGCAGAACACCTGCTGGAGCCCAGCACGGGGTTGTCAAGGTGGAGACTTCTGCTAAACCGACAGCAGCCGATTCTGGCACCTAAGATGTTCAAGACAGGTTCTTGCTGTGTGGCCCAGACTGGCCTCTAACTCTGGGCAATCCCCCTGCCTCAGCCTCTCGAGTGCTAAGGTTACAGGTGGTGCCACCACACCCACTTTCGTGCTGCTGTTTGCATCTCATATAGTGCGGGCCCAGAATTCCTTGAAAGCCATTTGCTCCAGGGCAGAGCAGTCCTCTGGCCCTCTTGCTGCCTGTCACACATAGGAAACCTAACTCAGCAGTAAACTTGAAGCCCATCTGTCACTTTGCTGGCAGACGCTGCGCATGAGCCGGCAGAGCAGAAGGAATGTGTTGCAGGCCACTTCCCTGGGTGCAGCAGCTGGCCCTGTGTTGCTTCCGCAGGGTGTCCCCAGGAGTCCCTGGGGTGCTGGCCCCAGAGGGACCTTGCCAATGCACAAGCCCCCAACACTGCCCTCTGGGTCTAGCCTGCTTTTGGGGCACAGCGTGTGTGCTTGTGCTGCTCGCTTCTGAATCCGTGGGCGGAAGCAGCGTGTGACTAGGCATGCGGGCGCAGGGTGTGCGCGTGTGTTCATCTCTCAGCCACAGACACAGAGCCTCTTTTTCCTCGGAACTTAAATAGCTTAGATCCTAAGTCAAAGCATCACTCTGGGGCTGAGCATGCATCTGGGGAGATAATGAAGTTCAGCCAACCTCTTTGTCTGTCTGTCTGTCTGTCTGTCTCTCTTTCTATCTCTTTCTCATTCTTTCTTTTTCGAGACAGGGTCCCACTATGTAGTTCAGGCTGTCCTTGAACTCACTGTGTAACCCAGGCATGGACTCAAACTTGTGATGACCCTCCTGCCTCAGCCTCCTGAGTCCTGGGACTACAGGCATGCACCACCATGCCCAGTCGACCAGTTTAAAATGGCTTCCACAGTAGCAAGTCCTGGAGCCCTTTCAGACCCTCAGAATATGTCTCCTCCCTTTCTCCCAGAGCCCTGGTGTCCCATGGGCCAACGTGATCAGCCAGGTGTCCTACCTAGCCAGCTGTGGGCTCAGGGAGGATGGGCTCACATAGGGTGACGTGCGAGCCTGTGCAGGCTGTGGTCTCAGCCACAGCAGCCCGCGTGCCCCTCACCCTGCACAGAGGCGGGTGCTGCTCACTGACACTGCTCTGCTCTTGGGATTTCCTTCCCCGGGCTCCCTGCCAGCCCCTGGCTGCTGCCTTCCCGTGCACTCAGGTGTCCCCTTTGTGTTGGAAAAACGCAAATGGGCTGGAAAGGCTCCGTGTAACTGGACCCAAGTGCTGGTGTGGCGTGAGAGATCCCAGCCTGTCCCAGTGCCCAGGCTCAGCACCAACTCCCCAGTTCCCCCATCTCAGGCAGTCCTGTCCCCACTGGGGGGGTCAGTTTCCCCTCTGTCCCTTGGAAAGGTTTTACAACATGCTGGGCAGCTGTGCATTTAAAACACTGTGAGGCCAGGTGCCGTGGCACACACCTGTAATCCCAGCACCGGGGAGGCTGGGGCAGGAGGAGCTCTATGAGTTCAAGGCCAGCCTGAATTACTGAGTGAGACCCTGTCTCAGAACAAACCAAAGCATAAAGTAATAATTATAAATAAAACACTGAGTCCATTCACATGGCCCCAGAGAAAAACAGCAGTTTTGGTGACAGCCTGGATTTTTTCTTCTCACAGCGCCTCACAGGGCTCCACAATGAAAGGGCACCCTTTGCCCACAGCAGCCGGGGTGCCTCACAGCCCCCTGTCCCGTGGGGTCTCCCCCAGGAACAGCTGTAGAGCCCCTCACCGCACCCTTCTGTCCCACAGCGGTCCGCCGTCTCAGCAGCTGTTCTTCCTGCGCAGCGGCATCCTGAGCAACCTCTACCTGCACTCCGCCCGCGCAAGCCCGGTGCCCCTGCTACAGTGGCTGTTCAAGGTGAGGACCGCTGCGGCCACTAGGGGGCGCGCGCGAGGCAGCCTGAAAGCGGGCGGCAGCTGCTTTGGCCTCCCCTTGCTCGGGAGTGGGCACTGCTGGCCCTGTCCCACCCGGCATTGTGGAGGTGCTAGGACACGCTGTGGCTTCCTGGAGCCTACCCTATGGCTGATCCAGGCACCAGCTGCTGAGAGCTGAATGCAGGGCATGAGGAGTTGGCCCAGCCTCGCCCCCTACCCGGCGGGCATGGGATGGGCAGGTCTCAAGTTAGGGTCACTGTGCAGCCAGCTGCAGCCTGAACCAGCTGTAAATCAGCCCCGCCTGGGGGTCATAATGGGGCCTTGGCCCAGGCGACTGGTGCAGCGCGGCCCAGGAGGGAGGAGCTCGTGGGGCCTGGTGCACTGCTGGGGACTGGGGGTGCACCCAGCCTAGAGGGGAACTGGGCCGGCGGGAACAGTGTGGCCTTTATTCTTTGCCCTGGCCAGTGTGGCTCCTTGCTGCTCCTTGCACAGCCGATGACAAGATGTACCATCAGCCTTCAGCACACAAAGAGCCCCTCTAAGACGTCGCCCACAGAGGGCCCTTGTGTGACCCTGATGCGGGGGAGAACGCCCTCCCGGAGGCTGACTCCGTATGCACGGCTCTGAGACCCCTGGAACGCTCCGCCTTCGGGGCTGCGCGCTCAGCATCTCAGAGCCTCCTTCCTGTAGGTGCTGTGGACTCGGCCCAGAGAGCCCGGGGTGCTTATGACGACACAGGGCACCAAGTGTGGGGGCGGCACCTGCAAGCCCAGCATTGGAGAGGCTGAGGCAGGAGGCCTGCCAGAGGTTCAAAGCCAGCAGAAAGTAGTGAGTTCTGCAACAAAGAGATGACCCCCAGCAGCTTTACAGTTGCAGTGTCCTATGGACCTAGGTGACACTTTGGGTCCCCCAGTTGAGGTGTGAGGCCTAGGTGGTTATGGGGTACAGGCTACATGTAGAGAACAGAGGTCTCAGCCGAGGGCCAGCTCAGCCCCCAAGCTGGCTGTCCAGGAGAGGCTTCCCTCGGAGCCCCCAGCCGCCACGGTAGGACCTCCCTCCGAGCCCCCAGCCGCCACGGTAGGACTGGCCCCTGCAGCAGCCAGCTGATGTGATCAGCACATTGCTACTTGCAGCACAAGCTGCGACTGGGAGGAGCAGCTTGACCTCGGTGAGCATTGGTTCCCCATCTGTGGCAAGAAAGAGTGTCCTTCTGCCATGTGCATCCAGTGGGATTATTTTATTTTGTTTGTTTTCTGTGAGATTGGGTCTCACTATAGAGTTCAGGCTGGCCTGGAACTCATGGCGATCTTCCTGCCTCAGCCTCCTGAGTTGGGGGATTACAGGCGTGCGCCAGCAGGAAGGGCCAAAAGAGATTTTCTAGCATGGAGCAGTAGGTGCTGCTTGCTGCTGACCCACAGGGATGAACTCTGTTTCTCCTAGCTGCTGGCGTGGCCTCTGGACATGTCCTCAAGGGCCTTTGCTCTCCTGTGGGATCTCAGTGTGGACGATCTCTTCCGTCAGTCCGGTCAGTGTTGGGGTGCTGGGTGGAGTCAGCATGCAGGGAAGCTGTTGGGATGGGGAACACTGTGTCCCTTGTGGTGACAGGGAACCTCCTGCCTTTGGCCCTGCTTCCAGTGTTGATGACAAGCTGAGCCCACAACATGCTGGCACCCCTGTCTCCCTTTGGTCCAGGTGGCAGTGGCCAGGTCTGGCTGCCCTGCAGGGATCCCAGGCAGTCAGGGTAGTGGCGCTGCTGGGGCAGGCTCAGTGCCAAGGAGGGGCTCAAGGAGCATAGGTGGTGTTCCACCAGGCAGAGTCCCCAGGGGATGCCCCCAAAGCTGTCCTCCCCTGGCAGTATGGGCATCCCTGGTGCTCCTGGCTTAGCTATGAGCAGGAATAAGAGTCCAGGCTATGCCAGACCCTGCTTTGAGGAGTGCCCTGAACCCAACACTCTGCAGAAGCCACCAGCAGGCCCCTGGGTGGCTGTATCCTCCCTGGTCCATCAACATTCAGGGCCTGGACCTGCACATTTGGCACCAAAAACTACCACATAACCAGCTGAAACTTACCCAATGCAGATGGCAGATGGCCTCTCCCTGCCTAGGCCCTGCCTTTGCCAGCCCTGGCCACCCCCTCCCCACAACATGGACCAGTGCCAGGGCTGAAATGCCCCCACAGTGCTCAGAGTCCCACCATTGCATTTCCAAGCCATGTCACTTGGCTGGATGAGTTGGCTGAGCTGGGGGCCATCTGTCACAGTCACACAGATGCCCCCTCCCTGCTCATCAGGGACCCTGGCTGAGGCCCAAGCAGTACTGCCCCTGCATTCTGTCCCTTTGCATAACCCCTGCTCCTGTGGCTAGGAGGCCCTTCACAGCCATTGCAGCCGCCTCTGCGGCAAGTCTGCCCTTTCAGGGACACAGATGCCCCTTGTCCTGCTGTCCTCCTGCAGGCGGGTGTGTGCGGTGTGTGGCATGTGTCTCCTCCTCTGCCTCTTGCCTCATGGTCTCTGACTGCCCCTCCATCCAGAGGCCCAGAGTGCAGCTCTTGAGCTCCTGGCAGCTCTGCTCCAGCTGCGTGACCAGGACCTGTCCTGTGCACATACCTGGGCTCCCGGCCCTGGCCCCACAGAGTCAACTGGTGGGAGAATCCCAGGCCTAAGCTCCACATCCCTGCTGCTTCCAGGCAAGGAAGAGCCAGCATCCACGGAAGAATCCCAAACAGGGACCTAAACGCATACTGTACACACAGGTGCTCACCACAGCTTTGTTCTTTGTTGTTGTTGCTTTGAGACAGTCTTGCTACATCTGTAGTTCAGGCTGGCCTAAAGCTTGCGTCCTCCTGCCTCAGCCTCCCAGTGCAGGGATCACCGGCTTGTGCCACCACTCCCAACTGCAGCTTTATTCATGATTGCCAAAAGGTAGAAACTAGTGGCTGAGTGGGTGACGAAACAGGATTTGGACACGTGATGGAAGACCATTCCATGCTGGATACAAAACTGTCACATGCTACCATGTGGATGAAAATATGGGGTCCCTGATAAAAGCCATTCCTCAGAGGACAGGTGTCTGCTGATGGGAACTCCCCAGAGTCATCAGATTCTTTTTTTTTCCATAATTTTATTGATAAACAAATATCAGTGAGACAGTTTCAAATCAAATTGGTAGGACAGTTTCAATAATTAACACTCTGCATACATTCTTCTTAGTGGTTAATTGCCGTACAAGATGCGGACCTGATATCCTATTTACAAACACCCTTAGAACAAATCATTCTATTCATTAAGAGAATGCAACTATATATCTATCCTAACCACTTTGAATACACAGATACAAAATGGACATTCATCTGTATACCCTTTTTTTTTTTAAGTTCCGTTATTTGAATATTATAGGTGTGTAAACTCAGCAAAATATTCCAAAAGAGTCCAGTAGCCCATAATAGTATTGGGTCTTCCGCTTAACTGGCAATGTCACAAATTGATGACCTGAGTCCCCCACAACTCATTATAACAGCATGGCTTTACTTCTTATACTTCATTTTTATACTTTTCTGCTGGATGGTTAAGACCAAGGTAAAGCAGGACCTATGCAACAAGAGTTGTAGCTTTTGGGTCTGCTAATGTCAGTGAAATCCCCTCAGGATTTATCCTGAGATCCTGTACCTCCGATTGTAGATCCTTTGTCAGTGTCAGCCATGTGGATGAGTCACGGCCATTGCTTGGCCAATGTGCTCTCTGTGAAAGCCTGAGAGAATGTTTTCTCTCCATGTGACTCTCCTTAGGCCCACTCTATATCATCGATCACTTTTCTCTTTGGCCCCAAAATCTCCTTGATCAGAAAATTTGGGACACTACTGAGTTACATGATGTTACTGTGCAAGTTCTCTCATGTCCTGAGTCTTAATTGACCTCGGAAGGCTAGGGCCAAAATGTTGGCTTTCCTTGCAGCCCTCCTTTTTCTCTAATTTTGGTCTGCAAAAGTCGTCAGATTCTTACAGACAGAAAATAGATGGCAGCTGCCAGAGGCTGCGGGCAGGAGACCCAGGCAGCTACAGAGTGGGAGCAGCCTTTGCGTGGGACAGTGATGGCGTCTGCAGCGACAGGAGTGTGCTTGCGGACTGGCCGGGGGCTGGGTCCCAAGGCCTCCCAGTGTTTTGGCGGCTGCAGCCCCAGCGTTGGAAGCACAGCCGTCAGATCCTGGCTGGATGAGAAAGGAAGTCGCACTGCTCTGGCATCGCCACAGCCCGGAACAGGAGTTGTGGTGACAGCAGTGCCTCCACGTTCCTTGGGGCACTTTTGTCCCAGCCAGTGCTCAACTCAGGAGTACCAGGGACCAGGACAGGGCTGGGGTTAGCTTCGAGCTACGGCACAGAGGGTCTGCTCAGGTGACCAGCCCTGGGACCCAGGGGTGTCAGGCCACCCTGGTATGTGGCCTGCGGACAGGAAGCTGTTTTATGGACAGAAAAGCAGCAGGTATCACCCATGCAAAGCCTCAGTGAGCTCAGAGCATGGAATATTCTGGAAGGTCACGAGGCCTCACCCCAGGAGTGCTGGTTACAGCCATGTGACGAAGATGAGTTGAAGGTCACCTCGAGCTGCAGGAGGCACTGCCCCTGTCCTCAAGGCCAGTGGCTGTGAGGCAGGGAGGAGACCAGCAACTGAGGCAGGAGGTGGAGAGGGAGCAGGAGGAGCCACCAGCAGGAATCAGGGGCCCGGGGGCTGCCAGGCCACCCTGGCCAGGAAGGTCAGGATGGAGGGCACTCACAGCTAAGGGAAAGCCGCCATGTCTTGTGCAGGTAAACACAGGTCCAGGGTCCTACATCCTCCCCTCTTGAGAGATGAGAGAAACTGTTTTGGTTGGGTTGTTTCTTTGGTTTGGTTCAGTTTGGTTAGGTTTGAACAGGGTCTTGCTATGTAACTCAGTCTGACCTTGAACTCACTGTGTAGCTGAGGCTGGCCCTTGGTCCTCCTGCCCCAGCTTCCTTGGTGCTGGGCTTATGGGGGTGCATCACCCAGCTTGGGCTCTATTTCAACTGTGCCCAACAAATCCCCAGCAGAGAATGGTTTGTTGTCTCTCATGACAAGAAACCTGGGGTGCATGGTGATGAGACGTGTTGAACAGATCTGGAGCACCAGGCACTGGCTTCCTGTTCCCTCAGGGCACAGAATGGCTGCTGTAGCTCAGAGCACCACAATCTTCTCCTGAGACAGCAGCTTTCAAGGCACAGAAGTGAAGTGTGAGGGATCATGGCTTAGTGTACTTTTCTTTTTTCTTATTTATTTTTATTTTATGATACAGGGTCTCACTAATTCTGGTCCTAGACTTTCCCAGGTTGGACTCACACTTGCTATCCTCCTGCCTCAGCCTCCCAGAGTACTGGGATCACTGGTGAGGACCACAAGCCCGGCTTCTCTCTTTGTATCTGGGCGCTCTTCTCACCCTGCTTCGTTGGACAGAACAGGATCACAGGCCTAGCAGGGTTCCAGCTGTGCTTTCTGGCTGCTGGTGCCCTTTGTACACCCTGGTTCTATCTGAAGAATCTCAGCCTCGTAAGTCCCGCCCTCCAGGTAGAGCCCAAGAAACTTGCTTTTCCAGCTTTGCTTCCATCTTTGAGTTTTCAGTTTTCAGATGAGCCAGCTGACACTGGAACAAAGGTTTCCACAGCATTGATATTGCAGTTAGGACTGTTTAGTGATCTGGGCCACCCTTGGACAGAGTGAGGCCCCGGATGGGTGGGTGGACTGATGGATGGGTAGAAAACAGATGCTGCGGCATTTATTTGTTTATTAGATGTTAAGACAGCATCTCACTGTATAGCCAGAGTTGGCTCCCTTGCAGTGGTCTTCCTGCCTCGGCCTCCCAAGAGCTGGGATTCCAGCAGTGTGCTGCTGGCCCAGCCAGGGAGTGAAGAAACCACAGGGAAGCAGCTGGTGTCCTTCGTCCTGCATGTCCTTGGGTGCTTACAGGTGAAAGGCTGCTGCAGACCTGCTGGGGCCGGAGAACACTCAGGGCCGCAGAGTCAGAGGCCTGCACTGCCGGGAGCGGCTCCCAGCAGGGATGGAGGACAGTCTCTGCAAAGGTCAACGCAACACCCTCTTGCTCAGGGTGCCCCAAAACAGGCTTACGGCACCCACCTCCAAGGCACAGCCTCTGGACAGGTCCTCTCAGAGCACACTGAATTCACTGCCTGGCATGGTGGCACACGCCTGAAACCCCCGCACTCGAGAGGCTGAGGCAGGAGGATCGAGGCTAGTTTGAGGCCATGTAACGTATGTAGTGGGGGCCAGGCCAGCCTGAACTGCATAGTGAGAACTTCTCTCAAAACACACCAAGAAACACACTTCGCAGATGAAGAAACACCAACAGCAAAGAAGCATGGGAAAAACTGTTCAGCAGCACTGGTCATGGAGAAAGGCAACTTGAAACAACAGAGATTTCATCCCACTCCAGGAAGAATGGCTGTCACCAAGAATCAACCGATACCAATGCTGGAGGGGCTGTGGGGGAGAAGGAAGCCTTCTCT